TCTCCTCTGACTGACTCGCACTTGAGAAGCTGTTTTGTACCTGGGAGCCGAATGCGCAGCCGAGCCGGCTAATGCGAATGACAGACGCTGTAATTACTGCTTCACTGGCACCGCTGCCAAGATCGCTGCCTGCTAGACTTGAATACCTCCACTGGGTGGCTAACGAGATTTGCACTTCACAAACCAGCACAGCCCTCTCCCCACCCTAAAGGGAGGAAAGACAATGCCATTTTTTTCCTAAAGGGACGTATAGACAGTTATGTGAAATGTAGTGCATAGGCAGAGCATCCATGATTATACTTTAGTTTCAAAGATAGCCTCCAGCAACATGTTGTCAATGACAAACCAACAGTCTGAGACTCATATGGACCCAATTCTCTTGGACTAAATCACAGCAAACTGTTCACTAGTCCAAGCAATGCAAATTTACCCAGGAGCTCCCTTTTGCACCAGCAATTCAAACATATTTTTTGATGCACTGCAAAAGTAATTTTTTTGCCTTTTTGTAGAAAAAGTATCCAGAACAGATTCCTCGAAAGCCCAGTGAAGTAAAATCCAGAAAGAACCAGAAATCAAGAAATATAGGCATACACTGTAAAACAGGTTACTAAAAACAGGCTTGTTTTGCTGATCGCATGACAAACGTAGTTTTGCTTTTTGAAGTATAACTCTCCTCTGTACTCTATTATGCACAAAATTCTAGACATATACGGTAGAGAAATAGTCAGTTGTTGTCCTGGGCTTCTCTTATTTTCCATAGGAACTGATTTGCTTTGTATCCTATTCATCTGAACTGGGTGGGCCTTGAAACACCTCTCTTCTACTTGCACAAAAGTCAAGATATTTACCTGGAAATGTCTAATAAGTATAGCCCATATTTTCTCTTTTCCTGCTGCACAGACCAGCTATGGAACTGATTTGCCTGGCCTTGGCACAGAGTTTTATTCCTGTTTTCAGATGTACTGTATTTGGAAAATTAAATTAGGAAAATCTTTTTAATTTGGTTAAGGCTGTTTCCTGTTTCTGAATTTGGATGTCATACACAAAGCTAGTCCCAAAATATAGTGAATAACTGGGGTTTATGACCATTACCAAAGAAAAATAAAGTTGTGTGGTGAATGATCCATGTAAAGTGATTAAGTGCAAACATGCACAACAACTGTGGAAATGTTTAGATGCACTCTGGCATTCTTACTGTACAGAGGAATAAACAACACTGACAGTAATGCTGAAGAGCCATCAGGAGGAGCCTGTATGTGATCTATATATTTTTTCCATAACTCTTGCACAACCAGCTGCTAGAGCCTGGAGCCAGAGGAAGATGAGCTCAGATTCTGACTCCCATGTTTCCAGGGAGGAATCTCTTCTCTGTGCACAGATTCATCCACTTAATTTTAACGCTGCTTAAACTCCGTCTCTGTCACCAAAGGAAACACAGTGGCTGCTTTGCTTTCAGCAAATAGTACTGCAGTACTAAAATGCTACTCAGAACAAGTACAGGCTACTACATCCAGCTCAAACTTGTCAGCATCATTGAAATGTACCACAGTGTATCACTTCAAAGCAGCTTAGTGTTCCAAAGTATTCATTCACAACAAAATACTACTTGGCTCTTGCTTTATTAATACAAATATTACACCTGCATGATCAAGTACAAGCAGTCTACCGATGCATCAAGATAATTAAGTCCTTTCCCCAACTTTTTTCAACAAGATGTGCTTAGGTATTTAATTAGGAAATGCATCCCCAAAAGGTTAGTACATGCACATGTTATAGTTCACTTTTTCTGCACTAAGCATTTTCAAACTGCTGCTGTTGCTAATACAGACTATGCTGGAGCAAGACAAATATCTGCACATATGGCTCTTTTACAGTTTTCTTTTTAAATTATCACTTTGATTTAATTAGTTTGAGGGGTTAAGCATGAAAAATGCACTCTTTTATTGTAAAGGAATAAATGAAACACAACCTCATTAATACATAGTCCATTTAGCTTTTCTACCATCCTTTACACCATCGTTATAAACCCCAAAAGCTGTCTGAACCATGCCTGTGACTACGGATAGATAACCTGACCCTCCCTTTCATCCCAGCTACACAACAAAAAGGTGGGAGCCATAGGATAAGTGGATAACAGTTTGGGAGGCAGGAAGTGTGGAGGCTGTAGGGGAGCACAGCAGCTGAAACCCGGTCTCTGCTGACTGAAGAGCCAAAGGAAAAGTTGCTGTTATGGAGATGGCACCAAAATGCCCAGCAGGGGCACAGTTTGGGGCATTTCAATTCTCATTCTGATGTAGCTTATCATAGAGGTATAGTAAATGCAGTGAATGCCAGGTCACAGTTGATTCTGGCTTGATAATCACTCTGGCCCCATTCACACCGTTTTGAGAATTAAGGGCTGTCTCTACCATTGCAACCATTTCCTGTTCTTCCCTGATAACAGCGGAAAAATACGCAGACAGCTTCAGATAAGAAGATAAGAAATACTCATAAAACAAAAAGTGTATTTAGGTCTGCTGAGAAGCTTGCAGGAGGACGCCGAGATGCAGCGATAATGAACGTGCCAAGGAGTGAGGGGGGGTCGGTCTGCCAACCCCTCAGTTAATAAATTCATCTCCTACCAGAAAATGGAAAGGAAGCTATGGAAGCACAAGTCCCAGCAATGCTCATGGCTTTCTCAGCCTGCTTCAAAAGCTAAATATAGCTGGGGAATTGAGATGAAACATGTATGTTTTTGAAACATATATATATAGAATAGAGGGAAAACTTTGCCCAGTGCTATATGATGAGGAAACTTCCTGAAGAGGGCATAGTTAAACTGTTGATTCATTGCCTCACTGAAGCACTGTGTATACACACACAAAGATCCCCACTGCACGCACCAATGAGAAAAATCTCTCTCCTCCGGGAAAAATGCCAAAACCAGGTCTGCACCCAAATTCTCTGCCTCGTCCTAGCAATAAAAATAAAAGTGGAAAAAAAAAGTCCAGGACAAAGAGCTATAACCCAAACAATTTCCCTGGATTTTTCCCTCTGTTGTGGAAGTTTATCATACACTGGGGAGTGTTGCTGAAGAGTTCTCCATCCCTCTCTGGGTAGGTAAGCACACCTGTGTCCTGTGGCAGGTCCCACTGCCCTTTGCAGTGTAGGAACAGGGCCCTGGCTCCTCTGCCCTCGTGGCATTTCTGTCACACAGTGTTGTGTCACAGAGGCTAAGTGTGGAAAGGAGGAACCATCTGGGAGTGTGAGGTATGAGCCCTGTGGCACTGAGAGGAGTGCTCTGGAACAGCCGAATGCAGGGGGTCCTCTCTTCCCTGCTCAGGCCATCTGTCATGTGAAACTCCTGTGTCTTGCCAGCAGAGCCAGCAGGCTCCTTTCCACTCCAGGTTCAACTGTCTGAAGGGAGCTTTCTTCTCCAACACCCTCTGACATGATATATCTATATTGACACAGACTGATATATACCCCCTGACATGTAAGTCCACACACATATGGTACTACAAAAACCTCTAAATACAAAATATCAAACCTGTCTTATCTTGAACATGAAACCAACCAGTGAAAGGAAACCAATATGGAAGACATAGATGAAACATGCCACGATGGTAAAGGATTTTTTTACTCTTATTCTCTGCTACCTCCTTTTCATGGCCAGAGTTCTGATCTTCCTGTGAAATAAATGAGCAAAGGAACATGACTCTGAGGAGATGGAGTAAGTATCATCAGGAAATGGATTAGCACTGTTACACGTACAGACATGGTGATCAGTGCACCCAGCCCACCAGCAGCAAACCTCCAGCTCCATGCCTGGGAGAACCCACAGAAAGCCTGCCAGGGGCACCAGGAATCAGGACAACCATCACTGGTGTCCCGTCAAAAAGGCCATAGAGGAGTGCACTTTGTAATGGCTGGGTGAGAGCACAGGGTCAGATCTGTGCAGTTTTCACAAATGCCTCTCCCCTGACATGATGTGGGGAAAATTAAGTATTCAAAAAATATTGCATTATAACTTCAAATCAAAAGTCTGGTGCATGTTATTACTTCACAGCTACATACATGTGGAAAATAAACAAACTAAGAAGCATCTAAAATTCCTTTCTCTTGTTAACCTTATAACTGAGATTTCCAACTGCTTTAACCAACCCGTACATCTTTGCTATGTGCAGCTCTGCCCACATGCAGCAGCAAGATCTCTTTCTCTCTCCTGTGTTCCACAAAAGCAACACATTTCCACATTAGGTCTAACTCCTGGAAAGAAAGACGAGAAGCACCGAAAAGTTTGTCCAGCATCAGCTCACAAGAGAAAAAGCCTCCTGCTGTGGCTGTCAGCTAGGTGGGTGCCACACTGAGCCAGGGCTCTTTGTGACGTTCTCAAACACCCCTAAACACGCAATGAGGAGCAATATATTGCCACTTAGAAAGGGGAATTTACACAAGGGCTACCGGGAAGGCAGATCGAGATGTACTCCAGAATCCCGGACAAGGGAGAGGAAACAAAATCTCAAAACATAAACACAGAAAGAGGGTGACTCCCTTCGGGTGTATCATGTTTTAGGCAGGAAGAAGAAGGGCGTTGGGGGGCCTTGGGGGGTTCAAGACTGACCGTCGATTGTAGAGCTCCAGGGTACGGCTTTGCCGCTGTGGAGGGACACCAGCCCCGCACCTGCCTTTCCCACGCACCTTGCCGGCCCTCCGGGGCGCACCGGCGGGCTCTCCCGCCCCGGGGAGAGGGGCTCCTTCAGCCCGAACTTCCCCTCCGCTCCCCGTGCCTCATTTGAGGACGGAGTGCAGGCAGACGCTTGTCCCGGCCAGGCTCTACCTATAGACCCAGCAGGTACGACCGGACCCTCCAGACCCCCGCGAGGGTCGTGCATGCGGGCGACTACACTGTTTGCACACACAAACACAGTAGAAAAGATAATCGCGGCATAAATTCGCATTTACAACCCGCACGCGGAGGATGCCCCAATCCCTCTCTATCCATCCATCCATCGCCTTACCTTGCGCCGCGGAGCCGGGGCGGCTGGCCCCCAGGACGGCCAGGGCGGGGAGCACCACCGTCTGCAGCAGGTATCCCAGTCCCAGCCCGCAGCGGGCTGCTGTCCCCTCCAGCCCCTTCCCCATGGCCGGGGCAGCGGGGCAGTGTCGCGGAGCCGCGGAGCTTTCCTGTGCTGCCGGTGCCGGCCCCGTCCCACCTCCGGGCGCGGAGCGGCGCGGAGCCCCCGCCAGGCGCTCAGGCTGCGCGGAGGGCGGCGGGGCGAGGGGCTGCGCTCGGACCGGGCGGGCACAGGCGCTGCATGGCCCCGCGGAGGGGCGCGGAGCCGGCGGAGCGCTGCTTTCTTCCCGCGGGCGGCTCGGCGCGGCTGCCTCCACCCCGGGGGTGGGCGGGGGCCGGAGCCGGGGCCGGGGCTGGGGAGAGGGGGCTGCGCCGGCCGCCTGCGATAGAATGCGAGCAGGAGCGAGGAGCGGACCCAGAGGGAAGGGGGCGGGGGAGGCTGGGAGCCACCCGCCGCAGAACCGGCCCCCTTTCGCCTCCTCCGCCCGCGCCCCCTGCGCGCACAGCCGCGGGCACGGGCGCACGCAGATGTTGGTGCGCACACGCTCCGCACACGCTCGCATCCCCGCCCCGGCGCACCTGGGCACGGCAGCCGGCAGCAGGCGCCGGAGCCAGGGCTGCGCCGGCCGGACCCCACCACACCCGCGGCTCTCGCATTCCCAGACTGTCCCCGTGCGCCTGATACTACCGCACACAGCTTCAAGACTGGGCGATCAGGAACACCTTTAGGGAGCCAAATGCATGATCGGGGAGCCCCATGCCGGACGGAGGGTACTAGTCTGCTCCCGCAAGCAGCAGAGCAGGGGTCGCACCAGGAGAGCTGTTGGAGAACCCACCACCCCTGGGGAGCATCTCCCCATCTGCCCTCCAGGGCTTCTCTCCTAAGGCTGGGGTCACTCCCTTCCAGCCCTCATCCTTCCAGCCTTCTTGCACCCGCAAAAAGCTGCCTCTGGCCCACCAAATCCCACTGAGAAGGATAGCAATGCCCACATCTCAGGTTCACTGCTCAACCAGGGCTTGGTCAGGTTTTACTGCTGCCTTCTATATGTTTTTTTTGTTTGTTTGTTTGTTTTGGTTTTTTTTTTTTTTTGGTTGGTTGGTTGTTTTTTTTGGTTTGTTTTTTTTTCTCTGGCTGGTTTGGTCGATTGGCTTTTGGTTTTGGTAGGTTTTATATTTGGTTTTGGGTTTTCTTTTCTAAGTTGTCCTTCCTTTTGCAGAGCCAAGGCGGGCTGTCATGAGCAGACCTAGCACCTCACACACCACCTGTGCCAATGCCAGGAGCTGTAGCCCCGGAACTGTCCCCACACCACGGTACTCCAGAGAGCTTTGCCTTCTCCAGCCCAGAAGTTCCCCCAAGCCAGGCTGCGTGCGAGGCAAGGAGCACTCCTCTCCTGGGAGGCGTGGCTGGGATTTTCCCAGTCCCTCTGGCTTTGCCTTCCCCTCCCTGTCCCTTCCACACAGGAAAACAAGTTACCCGCCTTGCTAATGCTGCAGGAGGGTTTCCTGGGGCCGCTGGAACTGTGTGCCCCTAGGGACGCCCTGTCCCACCTGCCCCCTGGCTTTAATGTCCTTCCCAGGGAATGACCCAGACTGTTCCTATCTCAGGATGTGGTGGAGCAGCAGTGTTTTCTCCTCAACAACAGCTGACATAAAGCCGCAATAAGACAGAAAAGCAAAGTCCTCATTTTTGGGGGATTTGTTTTGTTTTGTTTTGGTTTTTTGTTTCATTTTGGGTTTTTGCAGTTTGTTTGTTTGTTTTGGGGTTTGGTTTTTTATTTGGGTTTTGTTTGGTTTTGGTTTATTTTTTTGTTTTTTGTTTTTTTTTTTGTTT